TGCTTCCCATGGTGCCTCCCATCGCATTGCCGTGGCTTCCTTCGTACTAGATCACCCCTATTGCTGACATTCATATATGGGATGTGACTTCTAACAGGACTGAAGATGTCTGCATTACGGTTTAGCTGCGGGGTCTGGAAGGGGCTTCTCATTGTCTGTGGCTGATTAGGTCGATGACTATTATTTCCTCCTTGTGTAAAAGACAGTAAATCATCCTTTAACGTATTTAATTCACTTTGAAATTTGCTAATGTTTTCCATTTGTACTTCTTGCCACTGTTGTTGACTTTCCTGTAGTTGTTGGAGTTTTTCTTCCTGTTTACTTTCTTTTTCCAGTTGCCACTGCTGTAATCTCTCTTCTTGTTCTTTCTCGTACTTCTTGTTTCTTTTCTTTTTCTTCCAACAACTGCTATAATCTCTCTTCTTGTTTCTTTTCTCGTTCTTCTTGTTTTTTTTCTTTTTCCTCCAACAATTGCTATAATCTGTTTTCTTGTTTCTTTTCTTTTTCCTACAACAACTGCTGTAATTTCTCTTCTTGTTTATTTTCTCGTTCTTTTTGTTTCTTTTCTTTTTCCTCCAACAACTGCTATAATTTCTCTTCTTGTTTATTTTCTTTTTCCTCCAACAACCGCTGTAATCTCTCTTCTTGTTTCTTTTATCGTTCGTCTTGTTTCTTTTGCTGCTCTTGTATTGCTGCCATCAAATCTGCTAAGCTGTAGTTTGATTTGCTGCTTCTCGTTTCCATTTTTTTTCGTCCCACTCTCTGACTCTAATTTGTTACGTCTCTGTTCGTTTGATAATTTCCCGTAGAAATTCTTTCCGAAAAACTTCAGCGATACAATTCCTTTCTTAAATAAAACTAGTTTATTCTTTCTCCATAGAATTTTGCAATACACTTAATTTCCATAGTTACTTTCACTTAAACACACGCACTTTACTTAAGGTCACTTGTCACTTGACTCAATTGTCCGTCTCTATCTCTGCCTGTCTGCAATTCAATTAATGATCTCGTTTTATTTTCCTGATTATATACTAAAATAGAGGGCGTGTAGAAAAGACTAATGTTGCCAAGAAGAGACATGATCCTTCTAGAAACTCCAGCGCGCATGCTTCCAGTGTCGCGTGATTTCCGCTGTCGGAACAGTATTAAGTAATAAAAAATATATCTGGCATGAAAGTGGTCGTAATAATTACAAACTGTTGTACAGGACAGGATTTTACAATAGACACGTTCATATTGAAAAGGATTTATATGTTTTATGCACAGTCTCAACATATACATTTATTAAAATAACTCTAAGTAGACAGTTTACAGTTATATTTGTTTACTACTTACAGTTATATGTGTTTACTACTTACAGCTATATTCGTTTACTACTTACAGCTATATTCGTTTACTACTTACATCTGTATTTGTTTACTACTTACAGCTATATGTGTTTACTACTTACAGTTATATTTGTTTACTACTTCCTGTTATATTTGTTTACTACTTACAGTTATATTTGTTTACTACTTACAGCTCTATTTGTTTACTTCTTACAGCTATATTTGTTTACTTTTTACAGCTATATTTGTTTACTTTTTACAGCTATATTTGTTTACTACTTACAGTTATATTTGTTTACTACTTACAGCTATATTTGTTTACTACTTACAGCTATATTTGTTTACTTTTTACAGCTATATTTGTTTACTACTTACAGTTATATTTGTTTACTACTTACAGCTATATTTGTTTACTACTTACAGCTATATTTGTTTACTTCTTACAGCTATATTTGTTTACTTCTTACAGCTATATTTGTTTACTACTTACAGTTATATTTGTTTACTACTTACAGCTATATTTGTGTTTGCTAGACTAATCTGCATTATGCTAAAGTTGTTGTCCTGGGGGCAGATATCACTCTCTCCACTAAATGGAGAGACAGTGATGGTATTCTCATTTAAAACTGGTAGGTTGTTGCTAAATGCACCATCCATGTAAGCCTAGAAAATAACAGGATAATAAATACACAGGCTCTCATAGAATCATCATTTATGTAGACAATGCTTACAACATAAGGAAAAATAACAGATCAGTAGTCATTCACTCCTCCATCCATATAAGACTAGAAAACATGGGTATAATAAACATAAAGGTTTTCATAGGATCCTCAAGTAAAGACATCCTATCATAGAATCCTACTCTATATAGACAGTACTTAGAAGATTACGAAACAGAAGAGATCAGTAGTCACTGTGTGGTATGTTTATGTGAACTGAATATTTCTTCCAGATATTGGTACAGGTCTACTAATTAATAGGAGATTCACTCTAGATATTGATTGTAAAGTATTTCTAAATCTTTTACTAACTGAGTCAAAGTAAAATGAAGTAATGAGCTTGGACACAAAGTGAAATACGAAACGAACGATTTTTTATTAAACAATAAACACAAACATATCCGCTTGATTGTTAAAACACTGTGCTCGTGTTTTCACTGGATCACTCGAGCTCATGTTTATTTAGAATAACATGTACTACCTGACCATTCTGATTACAACATGGCCATAACCTCTAAATATTTCCTGAACAACCACTGAAGGACACTGTTACTAATATTTTAATTAACTGTCTTACTAATCAATGTCCTGCCCAGGCAATAATAAGTATAACCTACTTTCAGAACAACAAAGAAAGAAAGGTAACTTTAAACCTAATGTTTTCGTTGACCACTGTTATTCAGAACAAACAAATGAGTCCTAAATAATTATTATACTACAAGAGGACAGAAATCCAGGGTTTGTTCATATATCACACTTTCCTGTCTTCTCTACCTTATGCTCGACCCACATACCTTTCATTTTAGAATAATCAACTTTAAGTTTGCACTGGTCAAGAATAACACTGACTTTTTCTGGCTGGCAAGAAACTCATACTTCACAGTGATCACAACCATTTAGCAAAGATACAAAAGTACAATATTTTTAAACACTGAATGTAATTACACACCAATACATAAATATTTTTAAACACTGAATGTAATTACACACCAATACATAAATATTTTTAAACACTGAATGTAATTACACACCAATACATAAATACTTTTAAACACTGAATGTAATTACACACCAATACATAGATATTGTTAAACACTTAATATAATTACACCCCAATACATAAATATTGTTACGTCTCTGGTCGTTTGATAATTTCCCGTAAAAATTCTTACCGAGACAATTTCTTTCTTAAATAATAGTAGTTTATTCTTCCTCAATACAACTTTACAAGACACAGAATTTCCACAGTCATTTTAACTTAAACACACATTATAATTCACAATGATTTACACACTTTACTTACGGCTTGACTCGATTATCCCCCTTATCAATTTATCTGCCGGCTTATATACTAAAATATAGGTCGTCTAACAAACGCTAGGACGTTAGACAGGTTCCTCGATCTTTCTGATCTTTCTAAAATTCAAGCGCATGCTCCCAGCGTCGCGCGACTTCTGCTGTCGTAGCACTGCTCCTTCCATAGTATTGTTCATCCCGAACAATGGCCACTTACATTAAACCAATAGATTAAACATTAAATACATTAAACCATTAAAACAATAACTTAATTAAATGTACATAATTTACAAACACAAAATTAAAAATTAACAAAGTCTCTTAATTTTATGGGACGTATCTTCTTCCGTACTGGTCTCTGTCTCGTTGGCTTCTGCGTCATGTAAAGTTCATCTGCTCCATCAGGAAATGTCCGATTATCGGTAATAGTCACATCAGTGGTAGTAACTTCTTCAAGGGCTTCACTGTTTCCCTTCTCAAAACCGAGCAGAGTTTTTTCTTCGACAGTGGCTTTTTCAAGTGACACGTTTTCAGCAGCATCATTTGTTCTGTTGTTCACTTCATCCCAACTGAAATGTCCTGGACCATGATAACGCCAAAGGCTGTTGGCATGTACCACCTTTGGCTTACCTCGCCGACCACATTTAATCCGGAAAGTCACGTCTGAGAGACGATCCACTTTGTCATATGGGCCTTCCCATGAAGAAGACAACTTAGGAGACTTCCCTTTGGTCTTCCTAGGATTATACAACCACACCTTATCTCCTGGTACAAAGCTGACTTCAGTAGATCTCTTATTATAAGATAACTTCATGGAATCAGCAGACGTTTTCAAGTTTGAATGCACTTGATGGTGAATATCATCCATTCTTTCCGATAACACTTTCACGAACTGTGACACATTTTCAGGAAACTCTTCATAAAGTGAACGTCCTTTTATCAGGTCTACTGGCAATCGAAGATCCCGACCAAACATCAACTTTGCTGGAGTGTATCCAGTGGCTTCATGCTCTGCTGTTCTATAGGCCATCAACAGTGGAAAGAGTAAGACATCCCAGTCATCTTGGCGGCTATTACAAAACTTTGCCAATTCCTGTCCGAGGGTCCAATTGTACTTTCTACCATCCCATCAGACCGTGGGTGAAGTGGCGTTGTCCTGGTGTTTCGTATGCCAAACAACTTGCATTATTCCTGGAACACAGCTGATTCAAAGTTACGGCCTTGATCTGAATGCAGTTCGTATGGCATACCAAAAATGAAGAAGAAATCACTAATAGCCGAAGCTACAGTTGTAGCTTCCTCATTTGGTATTGCATATGCCTCAGGCCACTTGGTGAAATAATCCATCACTACACAAATGTACCTGTTTCCAGCACGAGTTTGGGGTAAAGGACCAGCAATGTCAATGGCTACTCTTTCCATTGGTGCGCCAACTCGATATAACTTCATTGAAGCACGTCCCTTATGCTTGGGTCCCCTTTTAGCACAACATGTACTGCATGTCCTGCACCATTCTTCCAAATCATTCCTCATTCTTATCCAGTAAAATCTCTGTCGTAGGTGACTCAATGTTTTCTTAACTCCAAGATGTCCTCTTGTTAAACTATCATGGGATTGACGCATCACAACTTCCCGTAACTTCCTTGGTATAACCGTTTGCCAGGTCGTCACTTTCCCATCTCCAGAGAAGAATACCCTCTTCAAGCTTCAACTGGTCCCGTTGTGCCCAATAGGTCTTTGTCACAAGGCTTAAGCTAGATACCTTCTCCTAAGCAGGGTGCAAAACACTTGCTTTTA